GGAGGAGGAGGAGGAGCAGGAGGAGGAGGGGAGGGAGGAGAGAAAGAGGAGCAGGAGGGGAGAAGAGGAGGGAGGAGGAGGAGGAGGAGTTGGAGGAGGGAGGAGGAGGAGGAGGAGGAGGAGGAGGAGGAGGAGGGGAGGAGGGGAGGAGGGGGTGGGGGGAGGAGGAGGAGGAGGAGGGGGGGAAGGAGGGGGCGGGGGGGGGAGGAGGAGAGGAGGAGGAGGAGGAGGGAGCAGGAGGAGGAGGAGGAGGAGGAGGAGGAGGAGGAGGATGGAGGAGGAGGAGGAGGAGGAGGGTGGGCTGGGGGAGGAGGAAGAGGGGAGGCCCCTGGGCTGCTGGCCCTGGGGGTCGCGGGCCCTCTCGCTGCTGCCAGCCCCCCTGCCGCTGCTGCAGCCGCAGGCGGCACTGCTCGCGTGGGCCACCAAGGGCCTGCGCTTGGGCCGCGCGTGGCCATGGCACGCGGGGCCCGCCGGTAGCGGCACGGCGTGCAGCGGGGGCCGCCGCCGCGGTGCGCCGAGCAGCAGTGCCCGACCGCATGGTTGGCGGGGTGGTGATCTGGGCCTCCCAGACGGGGCCTCCTCCTCCTCCTCCTCCTTCCTTCTCCTCCTCCATCTCCTCCTCCTCCTCCTCCTCCTCCTCCTCCTCCGCACCCTCCTCGGAGGCCGCAGGCCGCTCCCATGACGAATCCAACGACGCGGCGGTGCTGGCCACGGACCCGCAGAAGACTCGCACCTCGATCCGCAACTGATCCCCTCCGCTCACCAAAAACCATGAGCTCGACTCGCTCTGCTCTGCCGCGCCTTGCTGTGCTACGCCATGCTGCGCTGTGTGATGTTGCGCTGTGTTGTGCGTTGCATTGCGTTGATCTGCCGCGCTTTGCCTTGCTTCGCTTTGCTACAATCGTGTTTCGATCTCGCGCGAATGAGTTTACGTTATCCCTCCCCTAACCCCGCCTCGCCGTCTTCCACCTCACCTCCTCCTACCTTGACTCGTCTTGCCTCGCCCTTGTCTTGCGTTTCATTGATGTTTGCGTGATTGGTACGCCTCGCTTTGCTCTGTTCTTGCTGAACTTCACGCTGCCCTGCCTTGGATCTCGTGTTTCTTGGGCCGTCGTCCCGGTTTCGCTTTAGCTGTTGGCTTCGCGCGGGGTCGGGATCGGCGTCGGCTTCGCTATGCTTCGGTCTGCTTGGCTCTGACACAGATCGGCTGCGACGAAGAAACGCCCGGCCTCTAACACGCTGCCGTTCCGACCGCGTTGTCCCAAAGAGCCCCGAACGAGGTGCTCGAAGCAAAGAGCCCGCAACGGGGGTGCTCGAAGCCTGACCCCCAGTCCTGTACCTAGAAGCCGCCTGAATGGGTCCGTGTAGATGGGGTCGAATGCTTGCAAAGCGTCGCCCAAACATCGCCGATGCATCGTCGATGCGTCGGCGATGCGGCGCGATCCTCCGACCCCATCTACTCGGACCCCAACTACTCGAGGAGCGTCGAGAGGTCGAGAGATCGAAGAGGACGAGGAGGAGGATCGTGAGGTCGAGAGGAGAGGAGGGGGGTGTAGGAGAAGGAGGAGAGGGAGGAGAGGGAGGAGAGAGAGGAGAGGGATGATGATGATGATGCTGATGATGATGATGATGATGATGCTGATGCTGATGCTGATGCTGATGCTGATGCTGATGCTGCTGATGATGATGATGAGGAGGAGGAGGAGGAGGAGGAGGAGGAGGAGGGGGAGGAGGAGGAGGAATAGGGAGGATGGAGGAGGGTGGAGGAGGAGGAGGAGGAGGAGGAGGAGGAGGAGGCGAGGAGGAGAGAGGAGGATGGAGGGGGTGAGAGGAGGAGGAGGGAGGGATCTAGAGGAAGGCGAAGGAGGAGGCCCCGTCTGGGAGGCCCAGATCGCCACCCCGCCAACCGTGCGGTCGGGCAGTGCCGCTCGGCGCACCGCGGCGGCGGCCCTTGCGGCACGCCGCTGCCCTGCGGGCGGGCTCCGCGTGCCGCCCCGCGGGCGGCTCCGCTCCGCGGGCGGCTCGCGAGAGGCCCGGGGCGTGGACGCCCCCGGGGGGGCGGGGAGGCGGGCGGCGTGTCGCGCGGAAGCGCACACTCGACCAGGACAGCAAGGATGCGCGGTACCCTCCTCCTCCTCCCTCCTCCTCCTCCTCCCTCCTCCACCTCCACACCTCCACCTCCACCCACCTCCCACCTCCTCCTCCCTCATCCTCCTCCCCTCCTCCTCTCCCACCCTCCACCCTCCTCTCCTCCTCCCTCCTCCACCCTCCTCCTCCTCTTCCTCCCCTTTCCTCCTCCTCCTCCTCCTCCTCCTCCTCCTCCTCCTCCTCCTCCTCAAACTCCCCCCTCCACCCGTGCCGACAGCACGTGCCCACCCACCCCGGCGGATCCAGGGGGGGCGCGCAGAAAGGAGCCACCTGCTTTTCGTCAGGGCATCCTGGGTTGCGTCGCTCCCCGCGCTGCGCGGTGACTTCCCGCGGCCGCTGAGGGAGCTGCTGCGTTCGGGAGGCTCTGGGTTTCCCCTCAGTTGCACCTCGCGCGCGGGTTTTCAGGTTTGGGTTTCTTGCGAGGGTTTCTTGCGCCCGCGCCCGCACTGTAAAGATGCAAGGGCCTTGGAACGTCATGTTGACGTCTTCCGTGCGGAGCGCAGCAGAATGCCGAAGGGATGCCGAATACCGAATGGGGCGAGGATGCAAGGGTGGCCTTTGAAATTTGCCCCGTCCTTGCTATCATGGCTGACTGCAGTGGGCCAGAACCGGCGGAGCGACGCGCCACCCAGGAGTTTCTCACGGGAACAGAACACGGCCTAGACATATACGTTCCGAGGCCCGCGCGGACTCCCAAGATCGACGCCGGGCTCCCTGCCAGGCGCGCGGAGCGCGCCAGGACGCCGGGCGCGGATCCGGGAAGTCTGCGCGTGAGCTCCGAAAGTTGATGTTGATACGGCTTGTTGTTCTTCGGCGCATCGTCCCAGAGAGCCCGAAGCGGTGTGCTCGAAGCCTTTTCACAGGCGCCATTCAAGCTCGACGAAAAATGCCTTGGTTCCTGGAGCTCTGGCTGGCTCAAACTGGTCAGTCTGGCCTCTTCTTGCTTTACACTAAGAGGAGCGGCATCAATGCAAGGCAATCCGAGTGAGGCGGTTGGATCGCATCCTCACTGCTGGGACAAGGGCTGCGCTGCTACTTGGTCCACAATGCCCTTTGCTCGAAGCCTGCCCACCTCACCCTTCACCCCCCCGCTCACCAGGCTTGCGGCCAGCAGCGGCGCCGTGCTGGACCCCGTGCGCCGCGCTCCTGTTCCCGCGCCGTACTGGGCACCCTGCGCAGCCCCCTTCGGGCCCCACCGCGCCGCCCTGTGTGAAGGGGCCCTGGGACACACAAACAAATACACACATCAAAGGATTCCTCATAGTTTCCCATATTTTCTGTGTTCTTGTCTTCCCGCCCAGTTCCCAGGACTCGACGATTCATTGTGTCTGTGTGTTTCTTTCCCTCCTGACTGTAATGCCCTGCAACCGCCTCAGCCACATTCTGGTGCGTCCTTCGCCACCCAGCTAACACATGTATACATGTATGCAGGCACATCGTATATTTGTATATACTATGCACGTCCATATGAAGACGTAGTACGAGGGGCGAGGGGCGGGGGGAGGGACACACAGCAATTCCGCGCATCTGCGTGCCAAGTGGAACACACGGAACCAATGATTGTGCAGTCTATTCGTCCTCGAAGGGTGGCACGGCACGGAAGGCAAGGGAAGGGAGGCAAGCAGGGGACGGCGCAGGGACAGGAGGAAAGGAGCATGCAAGAACAATACAAAACAACGCAAGAGAAGGGGAGAGAGGGGACATGGGAGGAAGGCGAGCAGGGAAAGGACAGGCAGACGGGAGGAGCTCAAAAGCCCCGCGCCGCCACGGGCCTCACCAGCATGTGCCCCAGCGACTCGATCGCCACGTGAAGCTCCGCGAAGTCGCTGCCGGAGAAGAAGCTCTGACGCGAGAGCCAGCCCGCCCGCTCGGCAGCAGAGTCCTGCTGGGGACAGCAACACACATGGTGCCCATACAGGGCCTTTTGTTTAATACACGGGATGATTAAACATATACGAGTTTGAATACATGGTTAATCTATGAACAAACGTGTGCATGAACTCATCGTTGTTTTTAATACTGGATCCCTGCATGTTCAATACACGATCCGCACGCGGAGCATGTATGAAAAACGGCACTGTACCCGCCTCGACCTAGCGCCTCCACAAAGCCAAGCACGGGATACCATCGGATCAACATGAATCGGGAACCTCTAAGATCCGGTGGTTCTGGAGAGTGCATCGGGCGCCGCGGCCGTTCCAAAGCGCGTCTGAAAGGCTCCCAGGGCGTTCCGCATCTCCCTGGAACTGTTCATCCAATTCCTGGGCATGCCTCCCCCCTCCGTGCAAATGGCACACCATGATGGCCATGCCTTGGGAGGTCCGCGCCGTCGTGAGGAGGAACTGGACGAAGGCATCTCGCTGTGGGGGGTGGGGATGCGCAGAAATGGGGGCAGGGCGCATAGGTCGTCGCTCAGATTTCCCGGCTCAATGGGTCATTTCAAGGGGCCCAAGGACACACAAATAGATACACACACAAATGAACAGATTCCCAATATTTTCTTATATCTTCTGGGTTTTTGTCTTCCCCCCCCACTTCCCATATTTTCTTTGGGATCGACGATTCATTGTGTCTGTGTGTCTTTTCCCCTTCTGGTCAAAAGCGTGCTGGAATCTAGAGCACGAAATCTACAACAGTTCTTCTTCGCGCGTGGGGGGGCGGTCCCCCGGGGCACCCCGCCGCCTCTTGTCAAACACGGTTCTCGTCCTGGGCGTAGCCTTCGTGGCCCCCACGAGCGCTCCAGGCCTCCCTCCTCCCTCCTCCTCCCTCCTTCTCCTCCTCCCCCTCCTCCTCCTCCTCCTCGAGCTCGACGGGGCCTGCAGGAGAACCCAAGAAGGTCCGACACGGCCCAAGAGCGCCGCAAGAAGGCCCTCAAGAGGGCCCAGAAAGGCATCGGTCATTGAGTTCCCTTAGGTTTTGACAGATTGAGTTCCCCTAGTTTTTGTTCGGGGCCGCGTGCCGCCCCAGGGGTCCCAAAGATCGCTTCAAGACGCCCAGAGAGGCTCCCAGGAGGGCCCCACAACGGTCCAAGAGGGCCCGAAGATTGCCCAAGAGGGCAACAGGGCCCAAGGGGCCCCCCAGAGGGGCCTGAGAGGGGGCCGAACTGCGAGTTCGAGACCTTCCCCCAAAGATGGCCTCCGAGGCTGGCAGAAGGCCACCAAGAGGCCCCCCAGAGGCCCCCAATATGCCCAGGGGCCCTGCGAGGCTCCAAAAATGCTCCCGCGAGCACCCTGGTGCCAACGATGCTACAGTGGGCCTCCAAGAGGCTCCCAAGACGGCCGAAGAGGGCCTAAAGAAAAGTCCAAGGGGAGCCTAGGAGGGGGAACAAAAACAGCCATTTCGACCCGTGTGCCCCTAGACGACCCTCGAGATCGGGAGCAAGCCCCCAGCAAATCCTGAAGCCGCCCCAGAAAGCGCCCAAGAGGCGGCAAAGAGACCTCCAGGAGGTCCAGACAAGCTCCGACGAGGCCCCACAGTGGCCCCAAGAGGCCCCCAATGTGCTTCCCAATCGACCCTCAAGGCGTCCCAAGGAATGGCCCGACCTCATGGGGACCCACGATGATCCTAAACATCCATGAAGACAGACCCACACGAGCCCCCCCCACAAGCTCCTGGGCAATTGCTTGACGCACATGGCTGTTCTCGCAACGCTTCAAAACAACTATAACCACCCAACAACGCCGCAATGGCAACACGCACGCCGGCAAACGCCCGCGATGGAATGGTATAGGCCCACGGAGACAGCGAAGCGCTTACATAACAAACAACAAGGTCGCGAACTTCATCGGCCCTCCACGTAACCAGGTGGGACGCCAGAGGGACAGCACACCGTTTCCGCGTCATAGCCATAAAGCATGGCATCCTTGCCAACTGCAAGGTTTGTTTGTTTTCATGTTTGGAAGGTCTCTTATTATTGTTGGGGTCTTTACGGACGTGTGCTCTTATAATGGCTGCCCGTGTGATCTGGATTCTCGACTCCCCTCCCCCCTCCCCCTCGCCACGACAATCCCTCATTCTCGTCTCCTTTAGAACGCCCGCACGAGACGCATACTGCATTGCTCCATCTGCCGTTGCCTGTCGAGTGCACTGCCATGCGTCAGGCAACCAACCTTACATCGAACCTGCATCTGCTCGGGTGCCGACCTGGGACGTGTAGACCTCCTGGCGTTGCCCCAACCGCCTGGCATACGCACAAAGCCTGTACCAAGCCCAGCATTCTTTGCTTGGTGGCACCGTTCGCCGAGGAGAGCCGCTTTCGGCGGTGGAATGGCAAATGCGGCAACACATCGGCTGGCCTCCCCCACACGCGACGACCTGGACATTTTGACCACGCGCTGGTTTGGACTGTCGGCAGAGTCCGTGGAGATGCTTCGAGGGAGGGCGGGACAACGCGTAGCCGAGTCAGATGAGCAAACAAACACCACAGCTCTCGGCGACCGCGCTCCACAACCTCACACTCGTGATGGCTCTCCCGAAGCTGGCGCAGATCGCCAATGATGCAGACCGCGTCCCTACTGCTTCTGAGGATGTTGCACTGTCGGGCGAAGACATTCGAAGCACGCGTTAACATTGTATCGTATACTTGTGAAACCTTTTTCGTGCGTCTCTCATCCGTTCGTTCCTACTTGCTGGCCTTCTCTCCTCCCTGTCCCCTTACCTACACAAGGATGCACAGACAACTCCGCTTTTTGCAATCGCACGGTGTACTTGTATGCCCAGTTTGCGAGTTCACAAACTTCAGAGGCAAGCACAGTGTTTGCCTCATGCCCCTCTCAGACGCTTTGCTTGTAAAATGATGCAAATCCCTTCCAGCGCGAGCAAGTCGGCATGGCAACAATAATGATAACGAATGTCCTCCAATCCGAAGTTCGTGTGCTTCCGTCGCTTCTTCAAGATCTTCACCACAGCTACCGCGTTCCACACGGCGTACTTGCGAAGGCGGTCCACCTACAAATGCAATCAAAGACATCGGGGAGACTGAAGGGCAGGACGCAGACAATCTGGGATCCAAGCCCACTCCACCTGCGACCTGTAGCCCGAATCCGTCCATGCGACCCAAGCGGATATCAGAGGGCACCCTCGTAAATAGTGCACGGCTGTGTGGACTGATCAAACGTACACAGAAAGAGACGAATCCGCCCCGACGCGAAGCCCGCCAATGACACCTACGGCAAGTTCTTGCCGTGCCGACTTCGGCGGTGGTTTCTGACACCGCGGGGATCCTTCAACCTTGAACGATGGGCCGTTTCTGGGACGTCAGATCCTTCCACATCGACCGCTTCTGGGTCGCCGGCGGCGCTCAACGTTGAAGGCCAGCGGCGGGGTCGCCGCCAGTCAACACGACGCGAACGTACTGGCGCGGCCTCGCGCGACTGGTCACGGCGGAGTCCGCGGCCTGCGACGACTAGCCGTAGGCCGGTCGGCGGGAGCCCCAGAACATTGACATCCGAGCCCAGCTGCAGGAGGGCAGGGCGCAGGCAATGTCCCCTGCCTTCGCATGCATATGATCAGTAATCAGTTTGCCCACCCACAAAAAAACAAAAGGGACGAGACGTCAGCCCGATACGGACAAAACACGTAGCCCCCCGCAGTAGCGGACAACGGTGAGGGGGCGGCGGGAACCGTCGGCAATCTGCGAGGCTCTGAAGAAGCCCGCCACAGGCACTTCGATTCTACAAGCTGAGCAACGGGCCCGCCGCAAGCGCGGTCTTTTCGTCAACACAATGCGGGTGGGTCGCCGGTGGTTCGCGGGTGGGTCGCCAGGGGGGTCTCGGGGTGGGTCGCGGGCGAGGACGGCGACACCCATAATGCAACACTGGCCATCGCTCGGACGTCCATTCCCTGTGTTTTTTTCGGTTTCGTGCGTGGTTTTTTTTCTCAAAAAGATCAAGGATGCTCCTCGATGGTCCTCGCCGAAGCCATCCTCGTTGGGGATTTTTCTTGCACATGGGGCGCCCGATCTTCCCTTTCCCAGATCTCCCGCCCGAGGAGCTCTTGACACCACTTCCTCCGCGGCACTTCAAAATCTCCATCTCGGGTGGCACATCGCCTTCGCAATCGCGCTGGCCATGCCTTGCTTCTAGGTGTCTCCACGCCCGAGTGGCCCCAAACCTCTCTCACATTCTCTGGGAGGGCCCCTGGAGCCTCTTGCACAGCCTCTGGAGCCCCTTCCAGAGCCCCGAGAGCTTCTCAGAGAAGTTCAGAGCCCCTACGGGAAACACGATGACCCCTGGGAGGCGCTTCGAAGCTGAGCTGAAGGGCTTCGGGGCCTCTTGAAGGAGGCCTCAGGGTATTTTTGGGAAAAGGCCTGGATCCGAGGAGATTCTGGGCCTCGGAGAGAGGAGAAAAAAGTGGAGGAAGTAGGAGGAGGAGAAGAAGGAACGAGGAGGGAAGACGAGAGGGGGAGGAGGAGGAGGAGGAGGATGAGGAGGAGGAGGAGGAGGAGGAGGAAGAGGAGGAAGAGGAGGAAGAGAAGAGGAGAAGGAGGAGGACGAGGGGGAGGAGGAGAAGGAGGAGGAGGAGGAGTAGACGGAGGAGGAAGAGGAGGAGGAGGACGACGACGACTGGGTCGCCGCTGCACACGGAGCGCGCCAGGGAGGCGCGGGCCTGTGCATACCTCCGACACTGTATGGTGCATTCATGAGGACCAGCGCTAGGGACAAATGGCGCCCCAGGGCCTTTGCGAGTCTTGAATAAAAGCAGAAGAAAGATCGACCGGCATCGTTGTTGTTTGCAGGGGGGGCCGTCTGCGGCGCCGAGGCGGGATCGTCGGTCCTGAGAAAAGAAAACATGGAAGTATCGAACGCGAACGCCAGTTTTGTGGTAAAGCCGGCTTTCGGCGGCGAGCAAGGCTTATTTTCTAAAAATGAATATTCAGCAACGCTCCCGCTCGATATGTCCTTCTTTTCCTACTCTGGCCCCTCGAAGCCGGCTGCAATTCTGAAAACGCGGCTCCCGCTCGAGCGCGGGTTTGAGTGTAAATGGGTGCTCTTGGAGGCTCGGCTACAGCGACAACTGCTCCCGCTCGATACTTCCTCACAATTTACACCCAGACGCCCTGACCAGAGAGACCCCCGAACTCAGGAACGGCATTCTCGTTCGAGACTTCCTCGCAAGTGAATCAAGTTGGAGGAGGCCCACGCACGACGACACTGGCTCTTGCTCGATACTTCCTCACGGTTTACTCCAAGAGCCTCTGGCCAGGAAGGCCCCAAAACTCAGGAACGGCGCTCTCGCTCGAGACCTTCTCGTGATTCAATGAAACTGGTTGAGGCCCAACTACGACGACAAGGGCTCTCGTTCGATACTTCCTCAAGGTGTGTCCCCAGAGGCCCTGACCCGAAAGGCTCCAAAACTCAAAGGTGGTGCTCGCGCTCGAAGCCCAACCACGGCGAGAATGGTTTCCGTTCGATATTTCCCAATCTGTATTCCGAGAGGTCCTGGCCATAGAGGCCCTCGAACTCAGGGACGGCGCTCTGGCTCGGGAGCACGTCGCACTGCAGTCAGTGGACGGCAAGGAAGAAATTCCCCCCGAAAGGGGGTGCGATCGAAAACGAAGTGGACGGGTCTCGAGGGTTGGGGTATACAGAATGCAAGACACGCGTGCCAGTAAGAGCGAACAGCTTTGACATGATTGTTGTTGTTGTTGTTGTGGTTGTTGTTAGCGTTGTTATTTATGTTGCTGCTGTTGTCGCTGATGATGTGGTTGTTGTTGGTGGTGTTGCTGTTATTGTGATTGTGCTTGGTATTGATAGTGTTGTTGTATTGCTGTTCTCGAATGCTCATGTCTAGAAAATACATGTACTTGATACCTGGAAGCGGTTCCGCGCGCTGTCGACTCGACGCTGGCTGCAGCCCCTGTGAAAACGAAGCTCCCGCTCGAGCGCTGGCTTGATTGTAAATGTGTGTCCCTGGAGGCCCGGCTACAACGACAACGGCTCCCGCTCGATACTCCCTCAACATTTTCTCCAAGACACCCTGGTCATAGAGGCCTCCGAACTCAGGAACGGCGATCTCGCTGAAGCCCAGCCACGAAGACAAGGGCTCCTGCTCGATACTTCCTCACGATCTACTCCGACAGCCCCCGGCCAGGAAGGCCCCCGAACTCAGGAACGGCGCTCTCGTTCGAGATTTTCTCTTGGCTCAATCAAATTGGTGGAGGCCCAATTACGACTACAAGGGCTCTCGCTCGATACTTCCCCAAGATGTAAAAGCAGAGGCCTTGGCCAGAGAGACCCCCGAACTCAAGAACGGCGCTCTCGCTCGGGACTTTCTCGTAATTCAAGCAAGTCGGTGGAGGCCCAGGCACGGCAACAATGGCTCCCGTTCGATATTTCCCAATATATATATATATATATATATATATATCCCGACGGCCCCGGGCCAGAAAGGCCCCCGCACTCAGGAATGGCGATCTGGTTCGAGAGTTCTTCGCGCTTCAGCCAGTGGCCAACAGAAAAATATTCCCCCCAAGAGGGGGTGCGATTGAATACAAACTGGGCGGGCATCGAAGGTTGGGGTCTAAAGAATGCAAGACATGCGTGCCAGTAAGAGCGATCAGTTTTGACATGATTGTTGCTGTTGTCTTTGAACCCTCACAGCTGAATAAGTATTGTTGTTTTCCCCTGCCTGGTGACCATTCTGCTTTTTCGATTGAACTGCATCCCCTGGGGCTCGCACCCTGTTTGTTTCTCAGGGAGGGTCACGGGACTCAAAGTGGGCCCCTGGCCCCAAGTTTACAACAACAGCGGCTCCCGCCTCTTGCTTCCTCACAATTTGTTGCCAACGTGCACTCTCAAGCGGGACTTCCTCACAATTCATGTACGCATCGCGCACTCGCGTGGGACTTCCTCGCAATTAATTCAGACGATGCGCCCTCGGCGCTTAGGAATTACGCTCCCGCGTTGGCTGTTCTCGCGATTTACTTGGGAATCGCACTATCGCTCGAGACTTCCTCGTGATTTATGCAGGACCCACGCTTCAACAACCCGCCTGCTCGACCTCGTCGCCTGGGCCCGCCTCTCCGACCTGCCCGCTATGGGTCTGCCCACCCGATCTGCCCGTCGGGTTCTACCACTTGTTGTCTGCTCGTTGCCCCCCTCCCGCTAATCTCCCGTGCTCCGTTCTTCTCCCTCACCCTTCCGCCCGTCTTCTCTTCCCTTGTTTTAAGGGCTGCACTAAATGCACGTCGCAGGTAAAGCAGATATACCCCCAAGGAGGTACGATCGAAGACGACGAGGGCGGGCGCCGGGGGTTTAGGATATACGTATTGGTTGGCACGTGAGCAGATAGGAGCAAACCGTCATAGCATGATTGTTGTTGTTGCTGCTGTTGCTGCTGCTGTTGTTGTTGTTGTTGTTGGTGTTGTTGTTGTTGTTGCTGTTGTTGTTGTTGTTGTTGTTGTTGTTGTTGTTGTTGTTGTTGGGGGGGGTGGTTTCGGCGCAACCCCGAAACGCCTGACCGCGAACCTAATAGCCAAAGAAACTGAACCCGGCGCCAAAGCCCACGCCAGGGCGGATGTAGGATGTCCAACAATAATAACTGAGTCTACTTACTAATGTTCAACAGGGACTCTTGAATAACATCTGCGGACGTATCGGGCGGGAGCATCATTATTTGCCGGGGGTGGCTGCTTGCGGCGCCGAGGCGGAAGCGCCAGCGTTGAGTGAAGAGCAGAGAAGTACTGAGCGGGAGCGAAGGTTTGCCGGAAAGTCGGCTTTCGGCGGCGAGCATGGGCCCGGCTCCCTAGCAGAACAAGGAGGAAATATCGAGAGGGAGCGTTGTTGTTGAAGACCCGCTTCAAACAATGATTTCTGTTGGTCCTCCCCTCCTGGTAACCATTGTACCTTTTCAATTGAAGTGCCAGCGAGGTGCCACCAACAGCGGCTCCCGCCGAATACTTTCTCACAGTTCAGTCCAACATCGCACTCTCGCGCAGGATTTTCTCA